GATAGTGACCGCCGCGCTGTCTTGTGCCGCCTGAGAGAACTTGTCCCCTTTTTTTGGCTTGACAATACCTGCTTGTATCATACCTTAGACACTAATATTTTTCGTTCTCTCTCATAGGCACGAGCCATTAGCGCAGTAATATTAACTGGTTGTAAGTTTACATATTGCCATTATTGTTTACTCTGTTGCGTTCACATATGTCAATCAAAATTTTGAAGGAGAATATGTATCTTCTATTGTGATGAGTCAGACTAAAAAAATGGATAGTTCTGCAAAACTAAAACGCCCGCTGAAGTTGTGGGATTTGGATATAAAATTGAAAGCTGTAGAAAAGATTAACCGTGGGGAGGATCTAAGAAGCGTTGCCAAAGACTTGGGAGTTCATAGAAAAACCGTAAGACGGTGGGTAGCTAATGAAACAGAAATAAGGAAGTGGACAGCAGATCACGAGGGCGGTTTTCGGATTGGTACTAAGAGAATGAGACTCCCAGAATATCCGATGATAGATTGGGCCACTTGGATTTGGTTCAAGCAGCAAAGGGCTGCAGGTGTTCCTATCACAGGTACAACAGTACAAGCACAAGCAAGGTATTTGTGGCAATCATCGCAAGGTGACAGCGATCTACGATTTAAAGCGAGTCCGGGGTGGTTGGCGAGATGGAAACTGCGGCATGGGGTGAAAAAGGGTTTGCTCTTTGGAGAACAATTGGCGGCAGATGAGGCTGATGATGGGGCGTATAAAGAAAAGCTTGCACAAATGATTAAGGATGAGAAATTGACGCCTGAGCAGGTGTTCAACTGCAGTGAGATGCGGCTGAATTATCGTCATGTACCACGGATAACGTTGAATTCTTCTACTGTTACTACATCTCAGGAATCTACTGTAAAAAATGAGAACCTCACAGTAATGGCCTGCTGTAATGCATCTGGTACACTCAAATTGCCCCTCATGGTCGTTGGAAATAATGCAAAACTTCGTGCCTATAAAGATGTAAAATCTCTTCCAGTATTTTATAGAAATCATCAGAGCGCTTGGATGAACACATTCTTGTTTGAGGAGTGGTTCCAGGAAGAGTTCGTACCTAAGGTGGAAAAATTTTTAGATTCCCAGAACTTGCGAAGAAAGGCCATTTTATTTATGGACAATTGTTCAGCATACCCTAATGGATTGCGTGTCAATGAATTTCGCGTGGAATTCTTACCACCCAACCTCACTACATTGATTCAACCGATAGACCAAGGTTGCCTACATGATATCAAAACCCTGTATAAGGTCAAACTAATGACTTTTATGGTGGAAAAATTGAAGAAGGGAGATACTGTTCTTGAAGCTCTAAAATCTCTGACGACGCGAGAGGTCCTTTTTTGGCTTGATGAGGCTTGGTCTACAATTACTCCGTCAACAATCATTAACAGATGGAAGAAAGTAAGAAAATGAAATTCATTGTAAAATTATATTACCATTCATTATGGTATTTCTCTTCAATATTGATTATTGATGTTTCAGCTATGGCCAAATATTGTGGAAATCTTATCCTCTGCCTGCTTAACACCATCTGAACCGAGTTTACTGATAAATGAGCATAGGAAATTGTCCAAGGAATTTCATCGACTTCTCCAGAATCACGAAAATCATGTAGGTATCGAGTTAGATGAAGTACAGCAGTGGATGAATTGCAATCCACTTCTACAAAACGATGAATGCTTGACCGATGAGGAAATTCTGCAGATTATTGATGAAGAAACCACTGGAAGACCTAAAGAAACAAGCGAATTTCGTAAAGAAAATGACCACGACGTGACTGTTGAGAGCAGTACAACTGTCACAGAGTTATACAAAGCTCTAGAATGTTTCGATAAAGTCATCAAGTTCTGTGAGAAAGATGCCCATTACTCACTAGGAGACTTACAGGACTTATATCGAATTAAACAAATAATGAAAACCCAAGTTTTAAGAAGTAATGCCGATGATGATGATGTAATATGTGAAGATGATTAATTATGAAAAGACTATTAAGTATATTGATAATTTTTTGTGTTGATTATATGTGACTCACCTTGATAATTTACCGTGGTTAATTATGCAATGAAAGACATTTATAACGAAGGCATAAAGTATAATGTATAATGTATAATTCATTTCTGAATGGAACGACGGAAAATAATTGTGAAATGTCAGGTGAAATTATTATTTATGATCAACACATTGTTATGAAAACCCTAACTTTGATGAACTTCTGTAAGTTATTGAATTATAAAAGTATTTTCAAACATTTTTGCGAAGAATGCAATATTTAACGCATCGATTTGCGGCACTCAAAAACTTCAACTATTTATTTAAACAAAGATTCATTTACGATAATTTTCACCTTGAACTTTGATTTCCATTTTTTTTTCGAATAAGCAGAAATTTTATATTTTTAGTAACTTCCGTTTGATTTATTTGATCTTCGAATCTATTAAATTTTAGTGATTTATATGCTAGTAGAAATTTAAATATCATCACGCCCTCGTCTATTGGGGCTTCTCCCACATGCACAGTGCATCTCTTTTGGTCTTCAGCTTTCTCCCTCTCTCCCCTCTCACGGAATCGGAGAAAGGGTGCTTGTTAACTGTCCTTCCAAGAATTGAGTATAAGGCCTGGAAACCTGGACAGTTAGTGAGTTTCAACTTTATATGAAGGGTGGGATTTTATTGATGAGTAATTTAATCAATGAGTAAAGGGTTCTATAACATCATAAAAACTGTTTAGGTGTGGAGCAGATGATACACGTTTTATGGCATCTATCACTTTGAATACAAATTGGAAAATTTGAAAACTGCCACCTGCCAGATAAATTTTGAACCTATCAACACCCTGTGTAGTTCATAGTACATTGCCTTCACCCAAACCTACAATATTATCCTCCGGAGTGTTTCGTTTGATCATGAAAGGACAGTTGCAGTGCAATGGATGTAGAATTCTAGATCACTGAAATATTAAAATTTTCAACCGTTGATAGAACGATTTTTATCCAACACCCAGTGCGACCAATTAACTCCAAATCAATTAAATGGAGTTCAATGGAAAATAAGAAAATAATGACTTATAAATTGTTGTGCGTCATGGAATGATATATCTCGAGGTACTATCACAGTGACATTGCCATTAAGAGGATTACACGTACATAATTATTGCAGCCAGTTGGCGTATGCTAAATCAGGAATTACATGTGGTTATCGTAACTGGAGAATACCCAACACATTCACATAATTTTGACAGCGAATGGCAAATTATCGGTGTGGGGGGAAACAGTGTTCCGCCATATTTAGCAAACTTGTGACTTTTCGGAGCAAGTTCAAGTAACCCCGATAGCAGTCATCTAACCAAACTTCTTTCCAATAATTCATCTTTTAGATCAATTTAAAAAACCGAGAAACCTTTCAAATTGTCAATGATCAAAGTTTTAAGAATGCATTTCAGTTTTTGCCAATAGTGATTGTAACTTTTTTTTTAATCGTCGATTTTTAATTAACCGGGCGTCCTCCAAGTGCTGAGATCTTTTACTGAATTTTTTGGATTTTTTATACTAGAGGAAAAATGGTAAGATATTATTTGGGAATTCTAGAGAGTGATATAATGGGATTAATTTGATTATCATCATTACTTGATTCTAAAGAGTTTTTTCGGGTTCGGTCAATCTGCTGGATTGGAGATCATTCTGACCGGAGCTGATACGAGGAAAACTGCAGAAATTAAGACTGAAGATGGCAAGAAGGAGCGACATTTGTTATATTACGATGGCGAAACTGTTTCTGGAAAAGTAATGTTTATTACATTATAATTTTTCACTTTAATGCATGAATTTGATAGGATCACTCCTTTATAACGTTTATGTTCAGAATACAATGTTCGAAAGTAGGAAACGAATTTCAGAGATATCATTTCCTATTTTTAAACGCTAGGTTTCACTGTAGGAATGGCTGAAAGTAGTTCTGGAACGCAATAATGAAATGATATACGTTGATTTTCTATGGATGGTATCAAGCAATATTGTATAAAACAATTAATTTTCATTTTTTAACTGAATTAAGCAACAGAAACAGCAAAAACTTTTGAGAAAAGAACTTTGTTAGGTCAGTGAGGTCTAGAGTCTAGACCTAGACAATCAGTTTTTTCAATTCTCTTTTTATCAGCTAACGTTTTAGTCACCACAATATTCTATCAAATATCAATTTCCTTTGAAACCTAAAAAAATTTTGACGTTCTTCACCGATGACGTTTAAGATAACGTTTTGCCAGCCAATACTCATTGAAAAAAAACCAGTCTTTTAATTGACTTATAGTGGAACTAATTCATTTGAAAACAAATGTGCGAGATTAATGAATTTTCTCAAAAGTCATTTTTCGAAAATAAATTTGCACTTTAGTGAAAAATTTAGTATTGACATTAAAATTATTCTCCTGATCGACGTGAATGATGAATGGGTTTCGTGAATATGAATTTATGATGACATGTTCATTGAAAATCAATAGGTAATTGTAAGCCTGCGGAAAGCAGGAAAACTGGAGCATCAGGGTGTGAAGGTCGAGTTTATTGGCCAGATTGAACTCTACTACGATCGTGGAAATCATCATGAGTTCACTAGTCTCGTGAAGGAATTAGCGAGACCCGGGGAATTAACTCATAACACTGAATACACATTTGAATTTGCTAATGTCGAGAAACCTTTCGAGAGTTACACGGGTTCAAATGTTCGCCTGAGATATTTCCTGAGGGTCACTATTGTTAGGAGATTGAGCGATTTGGTTAAAGAGGTGGAGCTTGTGGTTCACACACTGAGTTCTTATCCAGATATGAATAATCCTATTAAAATGGAAGTTGGCATTGAAGATTGTTTACATATTGAGTTTGAATATAACAAGAGCAAGTGAGTGTGTCGAGATTTCTCCAAAAATTCAATAATTTTTGCTCCCCTAATTCATATAAAAGATACAGAAAGCTGAAGGAATAATTATTTTTCAGGTATCATCTGAAAGATGTTATTGTGGGAAAAATTTACTTTCTTCTAGTCCGAATAAAGATTAAACATATGGAAATCGCTATTATAAAGCGAGAAACAACAGGGTCTGGTAAGATAAATTAAAATAATTTATAACTACCTCAAATAAAGAAATGGGTGGAAAATTTTTCCAAGTCAACGAGAATTTTCTTTTATATTTTTGTATCGAGGGATATTTATTTTTTTTCATCATTACTTGTTTCAATGAAGTACATCTTTTTATTTTTTTCTGTAAATAACTAAGTAGTCAAGTTATAAGCAGTGAAAAATTAGATTTTTAATTTTCATCCACGTTGATTTTAATTTGAAAAGCAATTATTTTAGAAAAAAATATGAGGATATCTTTCTTCGAAAACTCACATATCTCGATGACTTGATTGAAAACCCCTTATTGTATGAATTATGTTATCATTTTGTAAATGTTGATATATCAAATTGAATGATTTCACCAATTCTTATAAATTTCGACGATTGATATCGAAAAAAACATTCAAGACTCCGCGGCATTATCTTTCTAATTAGATCTGAGTAGTTTTCTCATTTTCGTTTCTTTCTTAAATCTGAACATTACTATTCGGCTTTACAAAAACCAGAGATCCTCCAAAAATATGAATATACGATAAAAAAACTGGAAAGACGACTGACGATTTTGAAAGTCTACTGCTTTTAATTCCAATAAACTAATAATTGGATGTGCATGATGCTGATAAATGGCATCGTGTGAATGTGAAGGTATTATGAAAATTGTGTTGATCAGGTGCCAGGTCCATGTAAAATTCATAGATGTAACATCTCTCAGACTTTAATTACTTCGTCAAGGGGAAATTTGATGGACTCCTGTATTTATCATAAAAGTTTTACATAGTAGCTACTGTGCTATAGTTAAAATGCAGTAAAAAAACGTGAAAAAATGTAAAAATATATTCTTTTATTTGAAAAGACCTTTTTAAATCAGTGTTTTATCTACCGTATTTTCAAAATTTTTAATTCTCTGTTGGATTGAGAATTTTGTCTCATTTTTCTTTAGTACATATTCAAATTTTGTCCTTCACATCTCGTAAACCAGAATAGTATTGCTCAGATAGAAGAATAACAAAAAAATTAATGATTGACAGCGCATGCCTTCATTGGACTAATGGTTATGTTGAAAACAGTTTCCGTTTACTATCAATTACCAATAGTTTCATAACCCTCTATGCAAAGAATACATATTTACAGCTCCACACACGTTTACTGAGAACGAGACAATAGCGAAGTATGAGATTATGGATGGTGCACCAGTCAGAGGTGAATCAATTCCAATAAGAGTTTTTTTAGCTGGTTATGATCTTGCACCGACGATGCGAGACATCAATAAAAAGTTCAGCGTCAGATATTATTTGAATCTCGTGTTGATGGATGAAGAGGATCGTCGTTATTTCAAACAACAAGTAAGCCAATTTTATCATCTATTTTTCATTTTTTCTATTTTATTGAGCTATAGTCGAGGTAACTGTGAGTTTTACCAGAGTAATTGTCCTCGTTTATGTAATACTAGAGAGGAGTAATATTATTTCGTCAGGAGAAATGATTATGGAAAGAGAATGACTGTGTAAAAATCTCAAGCATTAATGGTATAATGGTGGAGATTTTACATTTTGTCTTGGTTTGATTCTGCCAATAATTTTCTTTTAGTAGTATATTTATAAGTTATTAGGAAAGAAACAATTATCCATGAATAAAGGATCCGTCACTGTAACGCTTCGTTTTTCTTCGTTTTGTGGGATAATTTCCCGTTTTTGTTCGTATTGGAATAATTTATTGAAAGCCCATTAGATAAGCTAAAAAAATACGTGATTCATGTAAGTCTCACCATTTTTTATCCGATTATCGCGTTTTTAACGTAAAAATGTGATTATCCTGTTTTATGCAAATTTCAATTTTTAGTCAATTTCTCGGTATTTCTAAAGCACATGAACAGGAATATTAATTATCGTAACATTCGATGTAATTTATGGGAGTATATTTTATACAATTTTAAAGCTCTTAACGAAAAAAACGGCTCTTTAAAATGCCGTGTGAATTTTTATCGACGAATAATGTCTCAACTTTCACTTGCCAAGTTTCGAAAAATAGTAATTCCGTTTAAATAAAATTCATAATAACTTCTGTTATCTTCGCAAATATTGATGTATTTCATTTTCATGCACAATCTCACCGAGTATGTACTCTAAAATAGCGAAGAGGAAAAAAGTGATTACATTAAAAAACTGATTATATTCAATTACATGCAAAATAGCTGGCGCGTCCAACTACACGGAGATAAATATTTAGTAAAAATTACAGAACTTTCAATTCGCTTATCGATTACAGAATCGACTCGGAAAATTTAAGTGACGGTATTGTAATTTTTCACTGATAATTCAGATAAAAATTACGAAACGCTGCACAAAAATTCCGTGACTTGAGATTAAAATTATATGACAGTTCCATAAAATTTCCTACAACCACATTTCGTTCCGGAATTACGGAAAAGACATGTAATTTTTATTGAATATTTCTATCCGTGTAGTATACACGAAATGAATCTATTGCTTATCAATTTCTGTCAGCATTATCTTGTGCTGGGTAAGTTTTTTTTAATTCTGTGACACTCCCCCCAGGAAATAACGTTATGGAGGAAAGGTGAAAAGAGCAGAAGATCACAGACAGCATCACCTCATCTGCCCTCTCATCTGGTTTCCGCTGAGACCGGCTTTCCCCAGGGTGCAGCTGTAAATGGCCCGCCATCCCTTCCTCCAAGTAATCATTCAGAAGATTCTGAAGATCGAGAGAATCCAACAACTGACGACACCCCAGCTCCCATCGAGGGAATGACACGCGAGGAAGGTGACGGTGAGGGTGAAAAGGAAGAGGTCAACTCTGAACGTCAATGAGTCCGACGAAAACTCACCTGAAGCCTCACCCTTGATTGAAATAATAGTGAAGATAAAAGCTAAATTCGAATATGAAAAGATGAAAAATAATTGAATCCTGTAAATACTAATGCCATAATCATTATGTAATTGAGAACATAATTAATTCATTCATGAAAATGGTGGGCAATATCATTTCATTGACAGATATTTTGGCGTCAACAAGAAAAGGAGAGAAAAGAGAAATCATTGTCGGTGTAGATGTGTCGGATACTTGAAGCGGTTGACGACCATTTGAAAATTATATTGTTTTGTAACTTAATAAATAATGTACATATGTATATATATACAGATATATATACAGTAATTACCCGTATCAAAAGCATATTTCACAATGTATTAGAACGAAGGAAATCGAAAGCGAGAAAATAAATAAATAATAAGAGGAAATGGTAGAGAAAACACCAGTGAACAATGAGTATGCATTGAGCTTTGCATTCGGATAAATACAGTGTACATGGTGTCTATTTTCTAATGCTCACTTGTCATCGTAACGTGCAGTGCCATTTGGTGAGACAATTGAACTTTGTCCCTTTATACGAATATCCATCTGTTATCATCATTGGTCATTTCGATAAAATTTGGAATAAACTAATAGACAAATTGAAGTTAATTCTTTGATGATTTCGGTTATTCGAGTAGGAAAAATGTGGAATCTCTTGAAATTACAGGTTTTTTTTCGAAATTATCTTGTAAGTGATAACTCTAGTGAAATAGTAATTACAAATTAGTTAATTTCACATTGAAACAAGTTTTTATAACATATCTTGATTGAAATCTGATAATGACAAAATTTCGATGTGAACGAGTTTTGTACCTCTCAATTTTTTTTTTTTTTAAAGTGCTACTTCGTTAAACAACTTTAAAATCCAGAGCGTTCAAAATTTTCAAGTTCATTGATCTCAAATGATTTACATCTGGTTAGAATGCTCATGAAAAATGTAATTTTGTGAAATTAACACATTAACAACATTTAAATTCATGAGAATATCTGTGCCCACCAAAGGGAGTCATGGCATATACGAGAGTTTCCAAATAACTCAGCTATCAAAAACATTGAAAAAAGAAGCACATGTGCATCATCCATTATTAATATATTCATTCGCCAACTCGGTGATTTCATATTCATTAATATTATTTTCACTTTTCCATCGAAAGTGAGGAATTTCATAGAAAATGAGTATTACCGTCATTGAGTTGGACGAAATAACTTTAGGTAGGGAAAAAAGAAAAATGTAGAAAGTACGGGGGAATTATTATTGTTTTTCAATTCAATTATGAAATATTTTCAATTGATTTTTCATTTTTTGTTTCATATCGTCATCAATTCCTTGGAAAATAATGAATGAAAAAAAATACAATTTACGTAACGACAAGCAACTATAGAATTTTATTATATTATTATTAATTATATTCAGTTTCTTATTATAATCATCGTAGTATTTATCATGGATTGGGTGACGTGTCTCATGGCGTGAATGATAGTGGAAAAGAATTGAATGATAATTCAATGCGGTTTGTTATTTTACATGTCAAATATTGTATATACATATACACACATATTATACGTATATATATATATTCTATGCGATATGCACTTTGTTGTATATTTTAGTGTCTTAATAATTGAATTTAAAATATATACGCGCTTGACGATTTATAATAATTGTTTTATTGTCGAACGAAAATCCTCTTCTTGATCATCCATCCCCAATAAATTTCCATCATTTACAACGATCGATAATTTGCCACATCATCCCTTAACTAATACTTCTACAAATATTTTCATTCTACCATCCAATGCGCGAGCACATTTTCTAATTAAAAATAACTCCTATATAATTATATAATTAGAAGATGAATGAAAAATACAAGGAATTGCCGGAAAGCCATTAAAGTCTAAAGCCATTAACATGTTTGGCTTTATTAATTGCTGTTTCAGTTTTTCCAAAAATAAATTTTGAAACATAAGGATTTAAAACGTCTTATGAGAAAAATGTAGGGGATGCTGAGGTAAAACGAATATCCATTGAAAACAGTTCGGCTCTTCATTTTTAATTTTTTTCTACGTTAAAGTGAAAATAAATAGCTAAATTATGAATTTAGCAATTAGTCCATTGATTGATTCTCAAGCAGAATTCTCTAAAGACAAAAAAACGTTAGAAATGCAAAAAAAAACGCCACTAATTATGTACATCATTGAATAGTCTTAAAATTTTGATTTAAAGTACTTCAACGATATTTTTGCTAATCGATTTATCATCAATTTGATATTCAATCTGAAATAATTAAATAATTCTCAACACGCTGCTTATCATATTAGATTGTTATTTTGAGAAGAAAGAAAGACATTGGACAGTCGTAATTGCTACTGAATTAATAAAACCACAATTCCAATAAAAACATCTCTAATTACCGCACTTCCTGTATTTTTCTTCAAGATAGAGATAAAAAGTGATATTTTTACTTCAATGTAGATGGAAAATTACAAATTGGCATTCATTCCATTATTGTTTCTTTTTTTTAAGTTTTGGACATATTAATGTATAACCAAAATTGACCGTTGTTCATTTTCCTGATAAATTTACTCTGGGATTGACGTAAAAAAAATAACGTTTTTACGTTTTGCCATTGCTTAATCACTCACGATGTTTTTAGGTGATGCGAACATTCTGCGTTTTTGCTTAACTTTCAGAAAAAATCACAAAAATATAGAGAAAACACATGAAAATGATCTCATCATCACAGAACTGCATGAGCCATTAAACAATGACAAAATGCAAAAACGTTATATTTTTTCTCATTAATCTCATCCATAATTTCCCCAAAAATGGAAAAAACATCAATTTTGATTATATAAGGTTGTGAAACGTTTTTAATGCAAAAATGAGTCACGTTTCACAAAAAATTGACATTTTCTATCAGAAATCTGAATTCTGTTAGAATTCAGCTCGATTTTCTGGCGGGAAAAGACCGACCTCTCATTGGTCAATATGATCACCACATGTTCATATTCCAGGCGGGAAATTTGAATGCAGTGCGTGCAATGCGCATTGTCGGATGTAAAAAAGAATGGAAGCCGTACTGGTACCTACAATGAGCTTTTCCAAAAAATTCTCCAGCAGGAAAAGTGGCTGATACCTAGGTGAGATGTACCATTTTATATTTGTAAATATCTTTTTTAACGATTGCCGATATGTAGACCAACGCATGCGCAGGAACAGTTGAGACCAGGCCATGCTTGTCGGCAATATGGCCGCGGTGTAGAACGTTAATTTGTGACACAAGCGAAAATTTCAAGTGTTATGACTATTATGGTGTTTATGAAATCAGTGTCTTATCCTCGGTGATTTTCCAACCATCCTGTATGGAGTATTAACCCTAGGTGAGTGCCAACAATCATCTCCATTACAATTCTACACGTTAAAAGATCAGAGTCGTGGATTGTCCTAAGCACACCCTTTTATTTTTTGCTCATCTCATAATCAATGATTAATGAGATGTGTATTATTTTCTCTTCATCATCCGGAAAACTTTCTCTGCGTGTTTAATACTTTTCAGTAGATAACAATACAATTGTTGTTGCTGTCAACATGTCAGACTGCTGCAGATCTTTCGAATTAGCGCAAAACGTCAAATGAATTTAGAGAACTTTAGATTGAAGTCTTTGTTTCAATTCGGTTAGGAAGTTAATGCCTTTGAACGCAGTTTCGATATTGGAAACTTTGTTTATTTTATTTATAAAAATATCTTTGAGTTGACTCAGTCAATAAAAGTTGTATTGAGTACTGCTCCTGCTCAACAGATGTCTATTCATCCTTTGATTTTGCGTTTTGATTGCGAATTTTGGGGGATCAGTTAACACGTGTTTGTTTGATTATGACGTTCATTATTGATTTGATAGTGAAATATTAATTCGTCAATCTGAGGATTTCTACTCGCTGCTGTGCGGTTAGAGAAATTTCTTACCCGGGTGATTCCTGATTCTTCAAAATTCCTTGCGATCGAATACTCTTCAAATCTCTTCTCTTTCTTCTCTCCCTGCGATCTTTTTTGCCCTTTCGTAAAAGTCAATCATTAAATATACGTCGTTGAAATGATTATTTTTATACCTACTGAATTCAGGCTATAGAATTCCAAATCATAATAGATTAAAAATATTTTCGAGCAATATAACTTGTGCGTTACCGGCTTTAATCCCGTAAACTATGAATTTTCGTTTCGTTCAACGAAAACGCGTAGGTGGAATCCAAGTGATATTTTTGTGGTACTGTTGCGGTGCCAAAAGGCAACGAGATTTATGGAATAACTTTTGTCCCAGTCCGTTAAAATTTTCGAAAATAAATTTGCAAATAAAAACAATATATTTTACATGCAACATAATTTTTTATCTGTATAGTTTTATAAGGAAATAATTATCTAAAAATCACTGCATGTCATCTTTTGTTCTGTCTCAGAACGAATCATCAACCTTTAATCATCAACATTTATTATTTTGCACGTTGGAAGAGTTCACAATGATTATTAAAATAATTACGTAATATTCTAAATTTCCGTGGAGAATGTTGCAATTTTGATTATATATTTCTGAGAATGTTGGCGATGATGAACACTAGAGTAATGAAAGCTCTCATTGTACGGATAGTTTATAGCCACAAATTCCTGATTACTCCATGAGGCTATTATAGAGTAGATATATTTCCAATTTATTTTTGAATGACTGATTGAGGCTATAGAACCCGAAATCATAACAGATTAAAAATATTGTCCAGCAAACTTCTGCAGTTTTTATACATTCCGTTCGACATTCCTACAAACTATATGTTAAAGAGTATTTGTTATCATTATGTTTAAAATTTCCCATCGACAACAAAAAGGTTTATTGGTCGGTGTCTATGGAATTCACTTTTACAATTTAAATGATTTCTGTCATCAGTCTATTATAGTCTTGTCAACAATTTTGAAACCATCGGAAAAAATATCAAAATAGGACGAGGACAGGTCAAAATACTTAAAATATGTAGACAGATTTTAAATAAAAATCTAAAGCTTAATTTTGATTTTCAAATGACAAAAGTCATTTAAAAAGTCAAAAGTTTACAAAATTATAAATTCAGGAAAGGCTAAAAAAATTAGCAATATTATTATACAAATATAGAGTGATAAATATAAAATTTAATTCTTGCCTGGTATTATTTCAAACAGAACGTCAACACTGATAATTGAAATTCAAAATAAAAAATTTGGAATCGTGTGAAATCTTTTGAAATCGTTCATCGCGTGAAATCTGCAATGATCGTGTCATGCTATTGGAGGATGAGTCGATCTGATAGGTTCGACGAAACTCGAGAATAATTCTTACTATGAATGATGTTTTGCGCGGATATGGGAATTTGGGAATTTAGCGCGAAAAAGGGGACCAGTGAAATGGGATAAAAAGATAGGCTGTATTGCCGACACGTGCTTGTCCCTGCAACCGAGGGACCACACACGTTGGTAGCTAACCAGTCCGTGTAAGCGACCGTTACCTTAGCACGGGAATTTACAATTAGCAATTTTTTCGGTCTTTTCGCGAGGATTAGTCTTTCCAGTTTCGGTTCGTTCCCATCAGTATGCAACTTTTGTTTGTACCATTAATTCGTAATTCGTAATGGCTGGCGCAATGTCACCGCTTCTATCGATGATATATTAATCGGAAAATTTTATTGGGTTTTATTATTTCGCAGTAAGCATTCCGAACGGTCTTTCGATGGTAATCAGTAAGAGACGAGTGGCATTTTGATGTCATGCAATATCCAGTGAGAGCTTTATTGGCCTTGTCCTTCGGCAAAGTCTTCAATAAAGTCCGTAATTAATAAGTGGTCCCAATATCACAGAATTGTGAGTATTTTCATTTTTGCGGGGTTTAGATGTACATTCTTTTTACTATTACTTATTGGAAAGTTCAAGTATCTTCATTGAATAATTAATTGATTACTTGAATATTCGACTGATTCTCGGATGTTGAATGCTGCAAAAGGAAATGGAAATCTGGAGAATTCGGCAATAATTTCTTTCAATTCTCAATTTATTAAAAATTGAAGTGCATTTAATTGAAAAATACAATTTAACTTAAAAATCTACTCTCATTGAAGTGTTAATATGACAAGATTGAAATTTCGAGAAATTCTCAACAGTGCAATGATAATTTCTAGTTTCAGTCGCTCTTAACTTACATTCTCTTATACCTACTGGCA